TCGAAAAGGCTGGCACCCCTGTCTTGCTGCTGATGCTCACCGTGGCTGCGCTGGATACCGCGCGATACTGGACAGTATGTAGAATGAGGTGGGCAGGCATCGGGAGGCTACTATGGGCACTGGGCGAGCATCGGAAGGCCACTATGGGCAGCTATGTCTATCCCAACTGAAGTGCAGCCGGCGTATAAGACGACCCCCCACTTGGAGGCATGTTTTTCAGGGCAAAAAAGTAGTCTTACTGTATATGCCAACAAATACAGCAGTAAGCCCTGGCTTGCCAACCACACTTCCCTCTCCAAATGGCCTCTATCAGAACGGGTTGCTAATCAAGGCTCTTAAGAGATGTAAGCAGTTCGTTGCAGGACTCTACTGAATCGGAGTGACAACACACACATCTATTTTCAGATTCAATTCAGACTGATTCAGATTAATGGATAATGGGTATATCTCTTCAGAGGAAAGTACAATATGCAGTTCTTATAACTGATTTTAGCCAAGAACAACATATGTTACAATACTTGTTTTTAGTTCTTAGGATGTCACAGGGTTCACATTTGTTGCAGCAAAGTAATATGGTTACCTTGTGAACATTCTTATACTGGAAATGTTGATGATTTTGTCACATCCTGTTGCTTTGTGTAGTAAGTCACATTAGAGTTGGGCTGTTGAATCAGTGGATATTTTTTTGTGAGTCAACTCCTCTACATGTTCCATTGATTCAAATGAGCTATTCTAGTTGTGACTTAACAGAGCAAAGCCCATTTGAATCAATGGAACTTAAAGATTCAGTGGGCCTACTGTAGGAGGACTTAGGGCATGGTCAGACAGCTGCAAAGGTGTGCTCCTGAGTATACCAGAAAGGGTTGCTTTCATGGGAGTGATCTCCCTTACAGTGATCCTTCCATCTGCTGGGGTATCGCTCCAGCCTGGCCCCCAAAAGTAGAAGGCCTATAGCTGGACCAAAAAGGACCAGCTTGGGCATGGGTCAGGGTCAGGCTGGAGTGCATTTCCTCCTAAATCAAGTGATCACTGGAAAACAGATCCCACCAAACTGCTTCACAAGCAGTTCAAATTGCAATTTATTTCCCTGTGTGATCACACCCTCACTACACTAAGCAGCAGGATTTTAGCCAAAGGAAAGGGCTATAGTAGTCAACCAGAAATATTCTTTGGCATCTTCACCAAATCTCTGCATCTGCAACAAAATTAATCTAAAACCAAGCGCTCTTAGGCTCTGTTGCTTTTAGTGCCAGAATAAATCCCACTGAAACTGGTTGCACAAGGTGCAGCCAGATTACATTTTGTACTAGTTTCTCAGTAAAATTTTCTTTCCTTCTGCTTACTGTGTAGGGAGAAGAAAGAGGTGTTTGTGATTGATCCTTCAGGAAACTTGTATTACAACTGGCTGTTTTGTATCACTTTGCCTGTTATGTACAATTGGACAATGATCATTGCTAGGTACTGTAAAACATTACAGTTCATGAGATTATATGCTTGCTCCATTGTCATCTCATCAGCATGTCAATGTTTAATGCCTCATTTTTAAATGTATGCATGGATGAACAAGCCCATAAAAAAATAAAAATGTTTTTCAATTCAGTCTTCAGACCAACTTTAATCGACACTGGAGCATGAAGTTTGTTTCACTCTGGGTTCCTTTGTGGTGACCTTGTGACATGAAGTTTACACTGTGTAGTAAAAGAGCTCATGTCATGACTGTGCAGGCACAAAACACGCACAAAAAATAAATGGTGTGAGCACTGCATGCTGATCTGGCTGAAGAGAAGGTGCAACCACATGAACCCTTTTGGAGAGTTGCCTGAGGTTGGAGAGGGGAGCAATATGTAAACACGCACAAAAAATAAATGGTGTGAGCGCTGCATGCTGAACTGGCTGAAGAGAAGATGCAACCACATGAACCCTTTTGGAGTGAACTGATGCGGTCTAAGTAGGGTTGCCTGAGGTTGGAGTGGGGAGCAATATGTCACTTGGTGTAATCCTCACATCCAAATGGCATACTGACCTCAAGCAACTCTATTTAGTCCAGTTCCCTCCGGTGTCAGTTTCTGGTATTGTGAAGTGGCTTAATAAATGAACACTTCCTCTGCTCTTTTGCAGAAGACAGAAGTGGTGAAAATATTATTATTATTTGCCTTACTAGACCATTGGTGATGCAATGAATCACTTAGATTAAATTTAAAAAAAGTATTTTCTTCGTAGCGATCGTTGAGAACTGCGTGCAGCCATGGTTTTGATCAGCACTTCAGACAAAGGCAATTTTAAAAGTTAAATCAAGGGGTTCTTTATTTATTTATTTGTATCAGAGCACTGAATAATTTTAAATTATGGACATAAATGAAATATAGATAAACTTCAAGTAAATTAAAATGTTAGAATGATTAGATTATTTTTTAACCAAGGGTGGACTACTTCAATAACATGATCTGTCATTTACTAGATACAGTAATTTAGTACATGTGGGTGGGGCATAAATTGCATGCACATAAATGCTACTTTAATTAAATTTCTCCACATTTACAGAAAATTTGTCTTGTTTTAAAGTAGCCCCATTTTACTTTATTGTTCTTTGACCTTCCTACATTGCTTTGAAGTCTACTAAATGACTTCTAGATGGTTCAGCCAGACTCTTGTTTTAGTGGGAGACATTCTTCAACATTCATCCATTTGGCAAGGTGTGTTGTTTTGGCTTTCCATAGATTTAGCCTAGTCTCTTCTGGTTTAATATTTAGAGCTTGAGATGTACGCATAAAACTTCTCCTCAATTTTAGCTGTCATCTAAGGGGTTGGTTTCCAGGAAGTGGATCGGTTTGGTGCTTATTTCACTCATTGTTTACTAGCACCTCTCGCTGTACTTCTGGAGAGGCAGCTCCAGCCAAATAATGGACTTTTTCAGTGTGTGTAGGTTTCAGGCAGACAGTAATAATTCTGCATGATTATTTAAGAACTACCTCCACTTATTTGGCATGTGGTGATTTATACATATGGCACTGACACATTCTGCTGTAGAGTGGCACAGGGACAAAACTGTTGTTCTTATTGTCTGTTGGTGTGCACCCCAGTCTATTATTTCTGGTGGCCTGTAGAGTGGCACAGGGACAAAACTGTTGCTCTTATTGTCTGTTGGTATGCACCCCAGTCTATTATTTCTGGTGGTAACTTTCTGTTTGTTGTTTAGACCATGTGTTCTGTGGGTCAGGGTTCTATGCAGAGGGACACCAAAATATTTTGGAGTAGGTCAGTGTTTATCCAGCGAGTTATTTTTGTTTCTGCAAGAGTCGAGATCAAATTTCTCCCAGCTTTTATTGTATATTGAGTAAAATGATTTTCTTTGAAATATGAAATATAATCTAAGTATTGGATGTGTGTTTCTAGAATGAGACCTGGGATGTTGTTGGTCTAGTGCTCTCTTGGAATGTAGGCACAAGAACATCTCGAAATATAATCTAAGTATTGGATGTGTGTTTCTAGAATGAGACCTGGGATGTTGTTGGTCTAGTGCTCTCTTGGAATGTAGGCACAAGAATATCAAGTTACAAATTGATCATAGTTTGCTGCTTAAAGATTATGTACATAAGGCACATTGAATTGGTTTCTGCACATTTTATAGTGACTTTGTCATTATTGTTGTTGTGTTCATAGCCCCAAATGTTGCTATGACTGTTGAAATCTCCAACTAGAAAGTCAATGTTTCGGTTTTCCATATTAGATGGCTTTTGGAAGCGGAATGGTATCTTAGATGGTTTATACTGTATATCAATGTTACTATATAAGCAGCCAGATCATCTATTAAAATTTCCTGAGGAAAGGCATAGAAGGACCCTCCCTGAAGAGTGGAAAGTATTGTGACTGCACTTGGGCATCCCTAGACAACAGCGTGCAGCCAGCTAATCCTTCCTATCTAGAAGCACTGCACTGTAAATTTAATTTAAGTGATTCAGCACATCAGCAATCATCTAGCAGAGGCATGATTTTTTAATAATTTAATCTGTCCCTTCCCTGAGGAGCAAGGAAAGTGTTCAATTTGCCAGTATTCTGGCTTGCTTATTAAGCCACTTCATGATGGTGGAAATTAACTGTGGAAGAAGCCTTGGCAGCTTGGACAGACGCAAGGCTAGATTTTGTTCCATTGCCAGCTATCATACACACATGGAACAAACTGGAAAAAACCTACCTGCACCAAAAAAGTAGAAGCCCCTGACAAAGGCTTTAAAAGGTGTGGGTAGGGATGGTCTGGGATCACATTGGTTTGCTCTGGTAATCAGGTTCTCTGCCCCTGCAGGACACCAAACTGTGGTACAAATGGTTGTCTGAGCCCTCAGTTTGTAGTAGAATATAAACAACCATCTACAATGGTCAAAATGGGAGTTCAAATTTATTCTGGATATTTTTTACAATCTGGAAAAGTTATTAATTGAATCATAGCACTAAATCTAATTGTTAGTCCCTAGAGTAAATCCACTGAATAAATATGACTTAAGTCAACATTTACACTTGGCTCAGTAGTCTACTCTAGTTATAGCTAACAAGTTGATTAGATTTAGATTCAGTTCACTTAACTGTAGGGGCACTATCTAGGGGTAGGCTACTTTGGCAGGTCTTGGGGCCAATCTTCTGCTACCAAGACCCTTCTGGGGCTGAACTCAATACCTAATGCAAAACATGGCAACAAACAAACAAATGAAACAAAACACAAAACCTGTAAGAAGCCTGGAAATGTAAGTGACTATAAATCCACTTCCAGTTTTGGAAATGAAAAAGGGTTTGGGAGGGCAGTAAGTGGTGCATGAAGGCCCTGTGGCTAATTTAAAAGTAAGTCACTCCCTACCAGCTCCCAGTAGCAGCATTTTTTCTCCCACTGAAGAAAGGGGAGGGCTGGGGACCACAAATACAACATGGGGTGCAGCAGTACATGCCCCCTTATCTAGTCCAAACAACCCAATTCAAAATGAGAAGTCCAGAGCTACAACATTTTCCACAATTGGCTGCTCAATCCCTACTTGAAGATCTACAGCAAAGGAGAGCCTCCCCTCCCATAACTGATTCCACTATCTTGTTTCAAACTTTTCTCTTAATATGAGCCTATTAGAACTAGCTCAATCTTTTGGACAGCGGAAAACAAGTATTTACCCTCTGTAGATGTTGCAAGATTGCTATTATGTTCCCTATAGGTCTGTTGACTGTTTATGTGGTCCTCCAGTGATCCTGTTCTAGTTTGCCTATACTGTATAGTTATCCATGCATGGTGATATCATCCATTAGCCCAACCAAATGAATAGCACTTCTGGGACTACATTTCCATAAAAGGTTATCTCAATGGTTTGCATCTTTGGCTTCATGAATATTGGAATGCATAATTTAAAATCCTGATTGTGATTGTTTTCTTATGCAGAGCCTGTTTTGATGAACTTCAGAGCAACAATTTGGAAATGTGGTTCATTTTTGACTACATGTCAGATATTATCTATGTTGCTGATATGTTTGTACGAACAAGGACAGGTAAGAGTATGGTCTGTTGGATCCTCTTGCCAGTAACATAAAAACAAACATCAAACAAAATGTTCCTCAAAATGTTTAGTGAAATGCTTAACAGAACACTCAAGAACAGAGAAGGGTTTAACCTGACAACTAAAAGTGAAAAGTGTAGTTTGCATAATTATGTTGTAAATTGGTCAGAGAGTGCTTTAGCACTATGAGGCAGTATATAACTTGAAACAACAATAACTATGAAGAAGCCAGGTTGGAAAAGTTATTGTAGAACTGGGTTGTTACCACTGAAAAGGCACTTAAGCTTTTACTGTGGAACTCCAATCAAGATCACAAACCAGGATGAAACTGTGGCTTCAGGAGTAAGGAACCTGTGTGGCCCTTCAGATGTTGTTGGAGCACCATTCCATCAAAAACATGAGTTCAATGTGTAACATCCCTGTTGCAGGGAATGGTCAAATCCTGGTTTGAATGTCATGGAAACCCTGTGGTTTAAGTATTGAAAGGGTTTCTTACTTAGCAAAAAATGTAAGTTGCAAAGAGATACATGACCTTGATAGTAGATTTTACTTGAACAAACCATTAACAGTTGAACAAGTTTAAGTTAGATTCTGTTCTAATATACTAATTGAGCAAAACTTATTTCCCTTTGCCAAACTCAGAATTTTTTTTTTGTAATGATAAAGAGGCGATACCATGTATATTTGGAAGAAAAGTGGTAAACAAATATAATAATATTAAGCAATATACCTCTTGATGTTGTACATAACAGAAGGAAGAAAGATCAGAATGTTTACTCAAGGTGTGGTTTTATTGGATTATGAAAACATTTTTAAAAATGCAGGTAATCTCTTAATAAGTATTGCCTTTTCCCCTTCCCTCTTCCAGATTTCTAATCAGATATGGAACTGGGAATATGGTAAAAGTTCTCACACTTGACAGAATAACAGTTTGTCACCAATGTTATCAATGGAAGGAAAACAGAGTAACATCATAAAGATTTTTTTAACATTTTAATTTAGGTTTCCTGGAACAAGGTTTGATGGTGAAAGAAGAAATTAAACTTAAGAAAAGATATAAGGGAACGGTACAATTTAAATTAGATGTACTGTCAATCATACCAACTGATTTGCTTTATTTCAAATTGGGATTGAACTACCCAGAAATAAGGATAAACAGATTACTTAGAATATCACGTATGTTTGAATTCTTCCAGCAAACAGAAACAAGAACAAGCTACCCAAATATCTTCAGGATCTCTAACCTTGTCATGTATATAATAATAATTATCCATTGGAATGCCTGTATGTACTTCTCAATCTCCAAAGCCATTGGCTTTGGTACAGATACATGGGTCTATCCCAATGTTACCCATCCTGAATTTGGTCGGCTTGCTAGAAAATATGTATATAGTCTGTACTGGTCAACACTGACTTTGACAACTATCGGTGAAACACCTCCTCCTGTGAGAGACGTGGAGTATTTCTTTGTTGTTGTTGATTTCTTAGTTGGTGTATTAATATTTGCTACCATTGTTGGTAATATTGGTTCAATGATCTCTAACATGAATGCGGCCAGAGAGGAATTTCAGGCAAGAATTGATGCTATTAAACAGTACATGGAGTTTCGGAAGGTAAGCAAAGATTTAGAAAAAAGAGTTATAAAGTGGTTTGATTATTTGTGGACAAATAAGAAGGCAGTGGATGAAAGAAAAGTTCTGAAATTTCTTCCGGATAAATTACGAGCAGAAATTGCCATCAATGTTCATCTGGAAACATTAAAAAAAGTCCGGATTTTTGCAGATTGTGAAGCTGGTCTATTGGTTGAATTGGTCTTAAAATTACAGCCTCAGGTATTCAGTCCTGGAGATTATATCTGCCGGAAAGGTGACATTGGGCGAGAAATGTACATTATCAAAGAAGGCAAACTTGCAGTAGTAGCTGATGATGGAGTCACTCAGTATGTGGTTCTAAGTGATGGCAGCTACTTTGGGGAGATTAGCATTCTTAATATTAAAGGTAGCAAAGCGGGAAATCGGAGGACAGCCAACATTAGAAGTATTGGCTATTCAGATTTGTTTTGTCTACATAAAGATGACCTAATGGGAGCTTTAACGGAATACCCAGATGCAAAAGCCTTGCTGGAAGAAAAGGGAAGGGAAATCCTTATGAAAGATGGATTACTTGATTTAGAAGTTGCAAATACTGGAAGAGATCCTCAAGAGATAGAAGAAAAAGTCTATCAATTAGAAATAATGCTAGATAATTTACAAACAAGATTTGCTAGACTTTTAGCTGAATATAATGCTGCACAGCAGAAGTTGAAGACCCGGCTAAAAGAAGTTGAAAACATTGTGAAACCACATTTAGGTTTTGATTTCTCAAATTTAGAAGAAACTGAAACAGACTTGGGTTAGTAAGTGATTAGTGTAAATAACAGAAATTTGGATTTAGCTAAAAAAAATTAATGGCGGACAGAATAATTGATAAAGACATTTCACTGGACATGGAATCTTCTCATACCACCAATTCTGGTCTAAGGAGTGACTTAAAAAGAAATGAACTAACCATCTTCAACACATATTTTCCAGGAACTTACATTGTACTTTATCTGCAACTTTCAGACAATGGCCCAAATCTTGTTGCTTAGTGTAGTAGGCTGCACTAGAGTAGGTCTATTGAATCAATGGGGATTTGGTGATATAAATCCCATTTATTCAAATGGGCCTGCTCTAACTGCAAATTACTTTAGCAGTATAAGTGCAATTTAGCGTAAGTGCTAAGCAACAGGATTTTGACCAATGAGGGGAAATGTGCTACAATCCCGATAGATCAAAATGTTTATTTGTGTGATCAAGTATCAGTTGAAGGAATGGAACATTGTACTCTGCCCTGTATAATGCATCTATTAATAATGAAGTGCATTATCAACAGCCACTTCCAGATGTTAACGAATTTGTTATTCTGGACATCTTTGTGGAAGCTGCCCAGAAAATTAGAATTACATATGATTTTACATTGTTCATTACATAATGTTGTGTGCCATGTTTTCATGATTTTCCTGTTTATATACTAAGTAAATGTAGCCTGTACGGGTGATGTATTTCTTGAGTTACATAATAGTGTCAAATAATTAACAGGTTTATTATGTGATTATCTAAGATTATATAAATAAAATGCAGTTAAACTATTTACAGGGTGTCTATAATGGTTAGGCACTGTACATAACTAAGATTACAAGATTACAGTGCTTACTACATTAAAAAAAGATAGTGTTGGGGAAAGCTGAAGGGCATCTTCTTGAGAATGAGAATTATTAAGGGAATTTTAAAATAAAGATTTCAAGATGCAGCTGTCTTCTTTCTGGAAGAAACGTTAAACGCAGAACTTTTCAATGGTCGGATCAGTGAGCAAACTGGCCTTGGATGTTCATAGAACCATTATAAATTATCCTTATAAATTCATTTTAACTTAATAGCTGGGATATATTCTCACTATTCTTTCCTTTGTTCAGAGAAACTGATAATGAACATTACAACAGTTCAATTCCTATATACAGTGGTGCCTCGCTAGACAATTACCTCGCAAAACAGTTAATTCACAAGATGATGGGGTTTTGTGATCGCTATAGCGCTTTGCAAAACGGTTTTCCCTATGGGCAATTTTCACTAGACGATGTTTCAGTCTGTGCTTCGCAAGACGTTTTTTTTTCCGGGATGGTTTTTTGCAAGACGATTTTGACAGCTGAGTCCGCGCTTTGCAAAACGGTTTTCTTATGGGCGATTTTTGCAAGATGACGATTCCACCCCCCATTGGAACACATTAAAGACTTTGCAAGACGACGATTCCCCCCCCCATTGTAATGCATTAAAGACATTTCAATGTATTCCAATGGGGAACTGCATTTCACAAGACGATGTTTTCGCAAGACAGCGATTTTCGCGGAACGAATTAACATCATCTTGCGAGGCACCACTGTATATTCTTTTGATCTTTCACTACAACAGTTTTCCTGTGATCAATAGGACTTATCTGATCTTGCTAGGAAAGGGTATATTATTTTTTACTTTTATGACATTTGCCAAACATGCAGAAATCACTATGTAATCAATTTTAATAAAGGTGCTACAATATTCTTAACTGTTTTTGAATAATTTATATTCTTCCTCATGTAAACACTCCTAACAAGGGAAGGAGAACTCAAAACATTGTCCCTTTATCCCTGAAAAGCAGGTGGAAGGAGGACTATATCGCCCTCCAAATGTTTTAGAACTCCATTTAGCCCAGACCACTGCCAATGTTGCTGTAGATAGGTCCTGTCATTTAAAAAATCTGAATGATCAAAGATTCCACACTGTAAAAGCAATTACTGTATACTACAACCACTACCACTTATTTACATAGTATTTTTATATTTATACAACAAAGGAATTTAAAAAATCTGAATGATCAAAGATTCCCCACTGTAAAAGCAATTATACTACAACCACTACCACTTATTTACATAGTATTTTTATATTTATACAACAAAGGAAGTCTCCATTTAGCCACAGCCTGAATCTGACCAAAAGAAAAACGGATCTTCTTTTCTTTCTTCGTTTTTCCCCCCAGTCATTAGGGACCTACGCGGGAAAAGTAAAGAAATCCGTGTTCATGCAATACTGTCCTTCCTCTCATCGAGTGCTGATGATCTGACTAGAACTCCCATAATACTATTTGACAGCCTGACCGAGACTGTTCAGAAGGAACCTAACATCTTGGGGGCTAACGTTACCCCATTGGTACTATCTAGAAGCATCCATAACCCACGCTCCCACAGATCGTTGGGCAACACCTCAAAAGGGTGGAATAGGAACCTCTACTCGTTTCCGGTATTCTGGCTTCCGCGCCCAGGCTCGGTGGTGGGATTCAGCAGGCCAACAAACAGTTCTGCAGAACCAATAATACATTAGCTACCGGTTCTGTAGAACTGGTGCGAACCTGCTGAATCCCACCACTGATCTAGACGCATCCATAACCCGCGCTCCCACAGATTGTTGGCCAACACCTCAAAAGGGTGGAATAGGAACCTACTCGTTTCCGGTATTCTGGCTTCCGCTTCCGGTTACAATACACAAAGCCGGTTTAGCCGAGTCTCGTCTTCTTTCTGGTTTCAGAGGAATGCTGGGAGTTGGAGTTCCGTGACGGGCAAGCGGGAGCAAAGGGCTCCGTTCCGTGCACCCGGCTCTTTCCGCGCCACGGCCCGGCTGACTTTTGCAGGAGGCTAGGCTAAGGGCCTGGATGTTCGTTAACTCTCCCAAGCTGGGAGGCGAGTCTGCGGCGGCGGCCCTGAAGGGATGGAAGGCGGGATGGCGTGGCGCCAGGCTGGCCGCGGGAGAGGCCGGGGCGGCAGGAATGGAGCCGGTGGCATCCCCACCAGGAGCGGACCTGGAGGCCGGGGAAGGGCGAGAGGAGTGGGCGCTGTTTTGCCGGTGGCCGCTCCTGACCGTGGCGCCTCGCAAGGCAGCGGTGAGTGCCTGCCGGCGGAGTCTCCACACGGGCCGAAAGAAAGCGGGGAGAAACGAAGGCTTCGGGCCCCTGGGCGGGAGGGAGGGGGGCCATGTGCGTGTCTGTCTTTTAATGAAAGTTACAAAAATAAAATAAAATAACCGGGCACTGCAAGGGGAGGACCGCTGGCGTTCTTTCAGGTATCTGGAGTGCTTGCCCTCCCACCGCTTCCTATTACATCGCTCACTCTATGGACACGTGTAATAGTTTGTGTCGTTCACACACCATTCATATCTTCACATTGTGTTATGTAGAACCATATGTGTGTGCCGTTCATGGACGCTCATGGTAGATGTGCACGCCTGTGTTAGGTCTCATCAATTTCCACCTTGTTTATTGGCAGTCCTGATAAGGTGATCAAGGTATGTGAGATGTTCAAGGAGTGGTTTTACCACCGGCACCTTAAAATTTCCATGGTCAAACAAGAACTTGAAGCCAGGTCCCTTATTTTTATTTATTTATTTATTTATTTATTTATTTATTTATTTAACTAACTAACTAACTAACTAACTAGCTAACTAATATACCGCCCACTCTACCCAAAGGTCTCTGGGCAGCTTACAACAATTAAAATTCAATTAAAATACAATAAAAGATTAAATGATTAAAATACAATTAAAATTGCCATCAGGACCCACAGTTGATCGTGTATCTTAGGACATCACTTTGTCTACTGTAGCACACTGGCTCTCACATATACACCTGTGTGCAGTTTATGAGCACACACTTGTGCCCTTCATGTGAGTGTGCATGCATATATGCTTTCTCCACTTTTTTCTATTAAGTAATTTTTGCATTATATTTTTATTGTGAATTCTGCCTTCTTTTGTACATACCTTTGTGCACTTACACCAGTGGCCATGACATTCACATATGTATGACAATAAATTATGTGGTTGTATTTGAATTTATATTCCATCTTTCTAAAAATGAGCTTAAAGCAAAATGCATGGCTCCCATCCTCTCCATTTTATCTTGATAGCCATTTGATGTAGGTCAAAGTGACAGTGTACTATATTCCATTTTCATGGACAAGTAGGGATTTCTTGAGTATTAGTCCAATACTTTGAATACTACACACACAGACTGATTTCTTTAAAACCATAGAAGGAGGAACAGGTATTATGGATTCTAAATATTCCATAGGTAATATATATTGGGTGAAATCCATTGGTTCAGTTTTTCTCACAGAGAGACTTTTGATCTTGTGGATGTCTCTGTTAGCAGAAAAAGGAGGAATTTTTAAAAGCTGTTTTCACTTGGCAGACCTGCAACATGAACAAACTGAGGGGTGGCAGCTTGTGGATGGGAGCTTAGGGGTTGCTGAGAAAAAAATTATTCTGTTTTCCAGTGGAGGTATTAGATGAATAAAACATGACCTCATGGGCAAATGGCTGGTTTGCTTGCTTGTTTGCTCATTAATTATAATATTTGTACCCCACCTTTCTCCTTAAAAAGGACCCAAGGCAGTTTACATAATTAAAATACAGTAAGTATACAAATACTAAAAAAGATTGAATAAAAACCACACGGAAATGGTAAGCAAAAGCAATACCAAACACATTCAAAGTAATAAAGTACAACCATCTATTTAAAAACCTCACCCAGATAATCAGTCACTAAGGGAAAGTTTGCCTGAAGAGACAGGTCTTTGTCTGCTTGCGGAAGGGCAGCAGAGATGAGGCCAGCCTGGTCTCCTGTGGGAGGGAGTTCCCAAGTCTGCAATTGACAGCAGGGAAGATCTCCGGTGTCTCCATCAAAGGCATCTGTGAAGTGGGACTGAGAGAAAGACCTCTCCTGATGATCTTAAGACGTGAGTGGGCTCTTAATGAGAGATGCAGTCTTTCAGATAGCTTGGACCCTAGCTATCTAGGGCATTATAGATTTGAACCAGCACTTTGAGTTGTACCTGGAAATGCATCAGCAGCCAGTGAAGCTGCTTCAGTGGTTGTTATGTGATCCCTGTAACCAGCCTCAGCAATCTGGCAGCCACATTTTGGACCTGCTGCAGTTTCTGGACAGTAGCCAGAGGTAGCCCCATGTGCATCATGTTATAACGGTCCAGCTGGAATGTAACTAAAGCATTGCATCAGTTGAAAGGAACATGGCAGTGAATCACTTGTTTCTATTTAAATACTAATTTATTAATTATGCTGGTTATAAATTACTGGTCTATAACATCAGGTTGTCAGTGTGGTGATAGGAGTCAGGCTGCTGTAGTTTTGAAAACAAAGTGTTTTTGTGTGAGATGCTTACTTACCATATTTATAGTCAATATAGCAAATTAAAGCTCTCCCCTTTTCCATTTGACACAAGGTTTTGCAAATTCAATGTTTTCCCAGGCAGGTCTGGTGCTAGAATGAGACTCAAATAACCACAAGAGTTTTTTTTATTCATTTTCCTTAAACAATTTGTACTCCAAGGCTTTGGATTGATTTATAAACATTTTTATCCATTACCTTATGTTTTTATATTATTCTTACTCTGTTGGTGGGTTTTCTTCCTGCTCATACAGCAGAAGATAGACATTGTAACCAATGGGTTGTGTCGCTTATTAAATTCTGCTCCTGGGACTCCCCTGCTGGCAGCAGGGAAGAATCTCCCTGATTCTCCCAGTGTAGCCGATAGCATATTAGAAAGTCTGCTCCAGGGCTGCAGAGGGGAGGGAAAATTTGTGAAAATCACATTTTCCCAGGTAAGACCTCCGCTCTATCAAAGTCCCTTGCACAGTTGAGCAGAATTCTTCTGTTTGTAGAAGAGAATTCAGGATCCAATACATTTGAATAGCATTCACTTTTTACTATTTTCTATACAGTGGTGCCTCGCTTTACAGGCACTCTGTTTAGCGATGAAATCGCTTAGTGATGACTTTTTCGGAGCGTTTTTGCACTTCATTTAGCGATGGTCCCTATGGGCGATTTTCGCTTAGCGATGGTTGGGACCATGCTTCACATAGCGATTAAATTTTGGGTCCCCTGTTTCGCTTAATGATGGTTTAAACAGCCTCATGTTTGCTGTTTTTTAAATGTTTTTCTGTTATTTATAAAGTTAAAGTTTACTGTTTAAAATGTTTGAAATCATAAAGTGCACTTAATAAACCCTTTGTTAACCAAATTTGACTTTGTTCTAACTCTTTGTTGTTTGTTGTATTTTTTCTCCCATTGAGATGCATTGAATAGGTTTCAATGCATTTCAGTTGGGGAACCGCGTTTCACTTAGCAATGTTTCCTATGGTGATTTTCGCTTAAGGATGGCAATTCATTCCTATTGGAACGGATTATCCGGTTTTCAATGCATTTCAGTGGGAAACCGCGTTTCGCTTAGTGATGAAATCGCTTATCAGCGATTTTTTCGGAACGAATTAACATCGCTAAGTGAGGCACCACTGTATTTCTTTGATTTCATATTTCTGATAAAAAAATCTTTAATATGTTGTCCAGAATCCTGTTACCATTTCATGCTAGAGTGTGTGAAATTGTGTAAGTTCCAGTGTATAACATGTATAACAGAATGTTGGTTCTGTAACAGCATTTGACCAGGCTTGTAACTGGTACCTTGCTAATTAGCTATAGTTTGCTGCCAAGACTCAGAGAATGTTATTTATTCTGAAATAAAATACTGATGGGATTCTGGCCACTTTCAGATAGGATGCTAAAGCATTTATTTTACCTAAAGAGCAAAAGATTTCTTGGCATAATGGAGAAGATATTGTTCATTAGTGAGTCAGTCGTTGACAGAGAAAGCTAATGTGATGTAGTGTCAGATGAGGATTCACGAGGTTTGGGTTGAAGTCCCAGCCTGGCCATGGAAACTCACTTGGGGGAGAAGGTTTGATAGCATTGATAAAACTTATTTCTTAAACCTTTCACATACATTTAAAAAAGAGCTCTATTAGGGTTGCTATAAATCAGATGTGATTTCGCAGCATATAACAACTGTTGACAGGTGGCCCTCTGAAAATCTGTATGATGTGTCTGGCTTGATCTCTATGGGATCCTAATTACTGATACTTCGTAGTAATTGCTTCTGTATATTAAAAATATGGATTCTTGAGTTATGACCCTTAAGCGTTGGTAGTATAAATTTATCAATTTAGTCAGTGGGTTAAACAACATGCAGTGCAACCCCTAAAATGGCTAGTTTGAGGTTAATTCTCTTGTGCGTACTAGAGCTTTCTGTTAGGTTGACTGGGTAAAGGATTGCAGCATGGAGGTTGAATTGATGAAGTGCTAGACTTGAGAACTGATTCTGGTGTTGCTGTAATAAGGAATAACAAAATGCTTCAGTATAGCCTTTAGATATCAAAGGATGTTGAGTGCTCGGTTATATACATTTATTTGAAATATTTAGTTACTTGATTAAAGATCAAGCCTTCTGACTGATAGCCTTCTTTGCACAGATGGTCATGAACAACGGTATTGAGAGAATGCTAGTTTTAGAAATATGTGTTCTCGATGACATGCAGAAAGAAACTGAGAAGCCAACTAGTATATTGGTGTTTCAAGAGAATGACGAACTAGCTTCATAGAGTTCTCGATGACATGCAGAAAGAAACTGAGAAACCAACTACTATACAGTATTGGTGTTTCAAGTGAATGACGAACTAGCTTCATGGAGAGCGTCACATGATGTTTTAATGTGGCATTAGCCTTGCACACTAGGAGATGGTTAAATTGTTTAATTTATAGGAAAAACCTTGGTTGGCCCATGTTAGACACACACTTTTTAAACCTCTTAATTTATACATGGGTAGTTAGGTATTTAAACAGGGTTTCTGTTAGCTTTAAAAATCTCTTTTCATAGGTTAGAGTACTGATGTTTTAATGTGATTTTTATTATTCTCTTCCTTTTAACAGAGCTAGCTTCTCAGAAAAAATTCAATGAAATTAAGAAGGCTAATCAAGCTGCAGCGAAAAAGCTTGTTGAAGATCAGTTTAGTTCCTCATCTGAAGATGATGATGAAGAGATTGAAGGAAAACATGGAAAAATATTGGATAAAACATTTGTAACTTATACTAAGCAAACAGGTATTTTTCTTCCTGCACTTTTATTATAAAGAACTAAACAACATAGCATTAAGAACATTGATTATTTAGATTGTGCTTTCTAGTTGGGGTGGTAACCAACTGCTTGCTTGCTTGCTTGTTTATTACATTTTAACAAATACAGACAAAGAAATTACACATTTAAAAATGTTAAAGCATCTAAAAAAAGAAAAACTGCATTCATAGTGTATCCCACCATCAGAACCTTTAGGGAGCAAAACATGTATAACATTTACTGTTGTGGAGCCCCTTTCCCTTTCCAAAATTGTATGGATTCTTGAATTAAGCTTTGTCCCTTCCCCTTTATTAATACAAAATGATAAAATTTCCCTATATGCCTGCAGACACATCTCTGCCAATTACCCCCTCTTAGCTTTTACAGTACAGTGGTGCCCTGCTTGACAACAACCCCGCTTGATGACAAAATCGCTTGACAACGAGTTTTTTGCGATCGCTATAGCGATTGCAAAATGATGTTTCCTATGGGTTTTTTTTTGCTTTACGTCGATTAGGTGCCTGCTTTGCGAACTGTTTGTTCGCAAAATGATGTTTTTTCCGGCTCTGCAAAATGGCTTCCCTCCCTTCGCAAAATGGCTGTTTTCCGGGCAGAAACTTCGGAAGACAGCGATTTCAAACAGCTGATGGGCAGTTCTCTATGGGCGATCTTCGCTGGACGATGAGGTATTTCCCTCAATGCATTCCAATGGGTTTTTTCCGCTTGACGGTGATTTCGCTTAACAGCAATTTTCCTGGAACGTCAAGCGGGGCACCACTGTATATCACATGTACGTTTATTATATTAGTATTAATTGCTATATCCCAGACCTCCCTATACTATTCACTTAATATGATATTATGAGCCGCTTTCTAGTTCCTAGCAATAATCAATCTTGCAGCTGTTAGCAAACTGGAAACTAATTCTCTAGTTGTCCAATTATGCATCTCCTTTTCCAGTATTGATAAAAGCGCTGTTTTGGGATGTACAGTTTAAATTGTTCCATTTCACAAGCATGTCTGTGCAATACATGTACACATATAAAGACATTGGCAGAGAAAGGGCTTTGCAGGGATGTTGCTTAAACCTAGTTACCAAGCCTCATAAACTAGTTCTTGCTTCTTTGGAATCGGTCCACTAATAATTAGAGTTGGAATAAAATATAGTTGACAACTTATCTGTATAATGAAAACATTTGTTTTCTTGTTTTCAAAGGTGGAGATGCAAGTGAACTGGAACGCACAAGACAATACCTGAATGATGCTTTTCAGTCTGGGGCAATGACATGCTTGATTTGCATTGCTTCAGTTAAAAGAAACCAAGCTGTAAGTATTATCATAGCATAATTTCTCCCAGTATTTGCTGTTCTCTGGGACTCTCTTTACTCTCCCAGAAAGAAAGGCCACCCAGCTTTAGAATCCCCCTGGAAAGTTTTACAAAAGTTCTGTGTCTTCAGAAAGTGATGTTGTCTTTTTATTCAGATGTGCATCTTGTTGCTTGGCATGAATATTTAAGTTAGTATGTGTGGGTTATTTTGCTGTAAAAATTACTTGATATTTGCATTCTGTGCTTTCTGCTGTCTAATACATCCTGTTATATTTATTGAGGGACTGTCTTTTACACAGGTCAGATTTCTTCTACTGTAAGAGTCAGTGCTGCAGTTGAATTCAAACAGTTGAAGTTCTAATAATAAAATTGCCTACTTTAATCACTCAGTATGTTCATATGCCATGACAAGCATGTGCAGGAAGCTTGTTTTGTCACAGACAAGTAGTTTGCTGGTGCCCCCTTATGGTGTGAGTAATTGGGTCCCAGTTCTGGGAGAATCAGTTGATCAAACAGTCAATACGGAAACCATGGAACTTTGTTCTATGATTTCTTTAGTCTCTCCCTCATTTAAGACCTCCTCCCAGATAATCAAATCCCGCTCCGCCCTCTCGTCATCTGCCAGGCAAACCTCCAGAACCCGTCTCTCCGTTTGTTCTTCCTGTTCAATCTCCACTAGAACCCATTCAATACATCCGTGGTCTTCTCTGGGGGTGGACACCCTGGAGGACGGCACACGGTGGACTCCTTGCTCACAATAACCAAACAAAGGGCACTTGACTACAGTGGCATCATAAGACGAGCTCACTGGAAAAGGCAGCAATGCAGGAAAAAGTGCAGTGCAGTAGGGAAAGAGGAAGACTCCACATGAGATGGATTGACTCAGTAAAGAAACCCACAGTCTTTTGTTTGGTGCTGCAGTCAAAGTAGGGCCAGGAGCAGAAAGATTGGGATTCAGATTTTGGGAATAAACTATGATACTCTTGTCTGTTTTGGGGATGAGAAATAGAGAAACTTGATTGCTACACACTTCAGACTTCTGCTGTTCTCAGCAGAAACTGCAGAGCTAAATGCAGTGGAGATTAAATTTTAGAAGGTTCCTTTTTCATGGTTTTATGAAAGAGTCAAGTCTCTCTGTCTGTCTGTTTCTCTCTCTCACACACACACATGAACAAACCCTTCCTCAGTTTTCAACAATTAGTTGCTTCAGTTCAGTATGTCCATTTCCTCTCATTACAGTTAAACAAGCTTGATGAAGCCACCCTTCCCCCCCTTAATTCAAGCCTTCCGTCCTGCTTACCTCTGATCCTTTCCCCATAGTTGAGTCAGTCTCTCTCTCTCTCTCTCATATACACATACACCCACTTAACAGCCCACCCTCTCTCCCTCCCTCCATGTTCTACATACATTTAAACAAGCCTGATGAAGCCACACTTTCCCCCCTTAATTCAAGCCTTCCATCCTGTTTGCCTGTTCTTTTCTTCAGTTTTGAGTCAGTCTCCCTCATACACACACCCTCCCTCCATCCATTTTCTACATATATTTAAACAAGCTAATGAAGTCACCGGTCGCTCTCTTACACCTTCCCTCCTTAATTGAAGCTTTCCCTCATCCTTCTTGCAGTCACTTCCGGCGGAAGCAGTCATGCACAAGCCGGATTGACTGCCCGGGGCTGTTTTACAGCTGTAACCAATCAAGCAGCCTTATCTCTGACCTCTGAAAGAATGGATTTACAAGTGCCACAACCAAAGAAGGCAGCAGGGAGAGGTGGCTTCCAGTTTGAGGTTCAGCTGCAGGGTGTGGGAGTGGTGGGTGAGTGGGTGGGGTAGCTCTGTGCTCATTACCCCTAGGATTTTCATTTTTACCCCATTTGGGGTAATTTACACCTGTTCCCCAACCACTGAATTAAACTCTTTAAAGACTGTTGATTTAGAGCGGAATACTGCTTTCGTTTTTGAGTCTGATAAGCTGTTAGAGTTTTTAGAGCCCTGCTTCTAATGAGAGCTTCTGACAATAATATTCATTCCTAATTATTCCTCTCTATGCCAAAGAGGAAGGACAAGGCTGTTAAAATTCCCGCTTGGACAAGAGGTAAAGCTTTATATAAAATTTCTGACAAGCCATTGGATCGCAGCCTGAAATGCTTGAGGAGGGTGGAGGCTGCATTAGGAAAAAAAAGAGTGAGAGAGCAAAGTCTCACCATCCCAAGCTGTAGATAAGCAAGAAGCAATGGACGAACTGACACATGTTGTGAAGGACATGTCCTGTAAAATGAGTCAGGAGTTTGAGCAAGCAGCAAGATGAGCCAAGCCTATTGAAATGAGCATTAATAAACTTTAAGATCAAATTGTAAGAATGACACATGAGTTGAAAATTGTCAAATAGAAAGTTATGGAAGTGGGAGACAGGGCAGAATCAAATGAGACCAAGGTAAGCAGGTTGGATGAGAGAATCAGCGAAACAAACAAAAAGCTGATTTATCTGGAAGACAATTCCAGAACATCCAACATTATAACAATGAATTTTCAATTACAACATGGACAAGACCTCAAAAAAGATTATAATGTAGGTTAACTTCATAATGGGCACACAACACTTGGATGAACAGGACATAGAAAGAGCCAATTTTGTTGGTAATCCCAAAAGCCCTAAGGACAAGACCAGTGGTGGTGAAGTTTTTTAATTATACAAAAAAAGAACAATTTATGAGAGAACTTAAACAAAAAGTTTGTTTAAGTCTACAGAGCAGCTGGTCTACAGAGGCACTAAGCTGCAGATTTTCCAAGATTTAAGCAGTTACTCTTTAAATTGTAGAAAATCTATGAAGCCTAAATGGGGTCATCTTGGGTTTTTTTGAAAAGCTGGAAAATCAGGATCTGTTTAAAATCTACTCATGTGAAGAAGGTAAAGACCTGTTGAAGGCATGGAAACTGGTAGGATGAAGACGACGGTCAGGAGTTAACTCTGACTTCAAGCCCCCCCCCCCCAAAAAAAAAGTTGAAGCAGAAAGGACCAGATTCCTGAAGGATTAGAAGATGGTCCACTTGTTGTCTCCCCCCTTTTAAATCTTTTAAATGTTTTTACTTTTACTTTTCTTCTCTTTTCTTCATTCATTTATATTGATTTTTGTCACTTTCTTTTTAGTTTTTAGTATTAACTATAATAATTATATTAATAATAGATAGCAATAATAATAAAAAACTTCTTCATTCATTTATATTGATTTTTGTCACTTTCTTTTTAGTTTTTAGTATTAACTATAATAATTATATTAATAATAGATAGCAATAATAATAAAACTACAATTATTAATAATTCTGGATTTAATTGTTTGTTTACTTATAATTACAGGGGAGAGGGGGTGGAGAAGGGGGCTTCAGTGTTACAAAATATTAAGAAGAAATGCGAAAATTTGATAAAAAGAACAAATAAGCTGTGAATGTACCGTAATATATCTTTATCTTCTAGATCTGGAGTTGCACTGGATGTTTCTGCATATTTCACATGCCATGTATTCAGAAGTGGGCTAAGGATAGTGTCTTCCTAGTGTCCTCTCCATTGACAGATGATGATTTTGGAAAAAGAGATTATCCATGGCTATGGTAAGCTTTTAAGGTTTCATTTTGAAAATTGCTTTATGTAGTAAAAAAAATTGAGTAATAGCTTAGAAAGAAGCATAGACATTATCAGAAAGCTGCAAATGGGTGTCTTAATGTTGCCTTTTTTAGCAAAACCTGGCAAAAATTATCATCACATTTAAATACTCTTAATAAATAATACTTCTTGGCATATAAAAGCTGCCAGAGAAGGATTGGGCAAGTGGGTAGGTAGAGTCATGAATGCCTCCTTGCCTCAGGGTAGGATACCAGCATGGTTTAAGGAGAAAGTACTAAGGCCATTGTTGAAAAAGTCCTCCTTGGATCCCATGATATTGGATAATTACCAGCCGGTCTCTTAATATTTCGTTCTTGGATGAGGTGACAGAGCGAGTCGTGGCTTTTCAGCTCCAGGGGTTCCTGGATGAGGAGGATTATTTAGATCCATTTCAATCTGGTTTCAGGCCTGGTTATGGGATGGAGACTGCTTTGGTTTCCTTGGTAGATGACCTACGTTTGGAACTGGACAGGGGGGAGTGTGCCCCTGTTGGTTCTGCTGGACCTCTCCGTGGCTTTTGATCTGCCATAGATCTTCTGGGCCATCTCTGGAATGAGACTAAGAGGCACTGTTTTCCTTCCTGTCCCCCAGTTCAGAAAGTGGTGCTGAGGGACTCCTGTGTAACACCATGGCTGTTGACTTATGATGTCCCTCAACGTTCTGTTTTGTTCCTTGTGCATTTAATATTTGTATGAAACCACTGGGAGAGGTTGTCTGGGGTTCGGTGTCACCAGTATATAGATGACGCTCAATTCTATCTCGCATTTTGATCTAAATTTGAGGAAGCTTCTCCAGTTCTAGATTGATATCTGTTGTCAGCTGTGTACTGGATGAGAGTGATTAAACTGAAACTTCATCCACACAAGACAGAGGTGCTCCTCGTCAGTAGAAAGGCAGATCAGGGAATAGGGATCCAGTCAGCACTGGAGGGCATTAAACTCCCCCTGAAAACGCAGGTGTGCAGCTTCGGTGTGCTCTTGGATTCATTTTTGGGCCTGGATGACCAGGTTTCGGTGGGGGCCAGGAGTGCCTTTGCACAGTTAAAATTAGTGCACCAACTGTGCCCATTCTTGGAGAAGTCTGATCAGTCCATAATAGCACATGCCTTAGTTAAATCTCAGTTGGATCTGCTGTAATATGCTCCCCATGAGACTGCCTTTGAAAAGTGTTCGGAAATTTCATTGGGTCCAAAAAGCTGCAGCTAGATTGTTAATTGGGGCTGGTTGCAGGGGTCACACACCCCCATTACAGCATCTCCATTGGCTGCTGGTCCCTTTGTGGGCACAATTCAAAGTGCTGGTTTTAAATGGCTCATGTCCAAGCTGTCTGAAATATCACACCCTTTATGAGCACATCCAGATTATCAGCAAAACCTTACTTTTGGTCCCACCCACCTTCACAGGTGCACTTGGTAGGGACACAGGATAGGGCCTTCTGTGTTGCTGCATCCAGCCTCTGGAGTTCCCTCCCATAGGAAGCCAGGCTGGCCCCATCTTTGCTGTCCTTCTGTAAGTGGGAGACCTTAAACTTCAGGCAGGCTTTCCTTTAGTGGCCAGATAAGAGGTGGAAAAGGATGGAGATTATTTGTGCTTTTGTTGCTTTTAAGGTGTTTTTCTCCACTATTTTAAATATTTGTTTAATCCTTTTCTAATATTGTAATAATTTATTTTTTCTTCTTATGAAAAAGATGGATATAAATACATTAAATAAATAAATAGTAAATATAAATTATGGGAAACATTGAAAGACAGTAGTAGATGATGCACTAAAACAATGTTCTCTCTCTCCTCTCTCTCTCTCTCTCTCTCTCTGGGTGGGGGTTGTGTGTGTAAAAGGCAGGTGCTTGTGTTCATGCATGTAAAAGCTGTTGCCTCCTCTCACTTACTTTAGGGTTCTCAAGTGTTACATATACTGTATATTGGTGCCCATATACCAAGAGTGGCAATCCTTGGTGGATTGGTTTCTCTGTCCTCCTCCACCTCAGTGCCAAAGAGGAGCAGCCAGATTAGATTTTGATGGGTCAATAAGGACTAAAGGGGGGGGGAGAGGGGGTACTATTGCATTTTGAAGTCAGATTGAGCAGCACTGGATATTGCTCAGGTTGTTTTATTTAATTAAAGACCAAGGTTATTGTGTCTTTTAGAAAAGGTCTAAAGTGAATTGGAGGGAGGTCTCTAATTCTGCAGAAGTCGATCTATGTTATCATTTCTGTTCCTGTTTGAACACAATAAAAGCTCGAATTGCCGATATAAAAACAAAGCACATTTTTATGTCGGGGGAGCTGCCCACAACAACATTGCTATATAATTAGAACTCATGGATTCTGAAAACCATGCCATATCTTGTGTATCTTAGTTTAAGTCTTCATGGGTAACAGCTAACACTCCTTGCAAGAATTTTGAAAAAGAGAAGTGGGCCAGAGTTGCAATTAAAGTTCAGGTTTCATATTCCCTTCTTACGCTTCCTGGTCTAGATTTTCAATGCCTACTGAGAATTAAATTACCTCCATTCTGCTTCTGTGTCTCATGGTTTGCTGAAGAACAGTATGAAACTGTTTTTGTCCCAGTACATTACTTTGTCTAGGGATAAGAAAGGAACCCAAGTGGCAAAAAAAATAAAAAATAAAAAAGAAAAGATTTGTTAGAACAAAGAAAGAAAGAAAGAAAGAAAGAAAGAAAAGATTTGTTAGAAATTTCTGTCCCATACAGAACTGTAATGGCATGTGGCTCAAATTTGTAGATACGTATGGTTTATAACTGCATAGGTCAGGGATCTCCAATAGGTCAGAGATCTCCACCTCCCTACACGCACGGACCAGGGGCGTGTCACACTCACAGATGGGCATGAGCGCAACACGCCCAACTGCGAGTGCGGCACGCCCGCCTGCGAATGCAACATGCCCACCCGCGAGTGTGGGGGTGCCCCGCCTTCCTGTGCACAGAGCCCGCCCCACCCAGCCGGTCCACGGTTCCAAAAGGGTTGGGGACCACTGGCATTGGTGACAAGTTTTGCAGGGTGATAACATTATAGGCTTAGTTCAGTGTGGCCTCTGCAACAAGTCATAAATCTGGACGACTAAAATGTCTCATCCTGGTGCATGAGGATTAATAATATTTTTTGGATTGCACTTGTATTTATTTGATGTTACACTATAATACTGTATGTGTCTTCATAACCAGCCCTAGAATCTGTTTCTAGTTGCTCATGATAGAAAGTAGCCATTCACATTTAATTCATTGTAATGTTGGTAAACCTAGGAGTGTCAGGTCTGGCTTTGTCACTACAAATTAGCATTTAGAACCGATGCCATCATTCTGAACCTGTGACTGTCTTGCTCAAAATTTGATTATAATAGCTTTCTTGAGTTGAATGTTACAGAAAGATTTCCACTAATTTTCCCCCGTTTTTCCTTCAGTCCAAAATGTAGGTTTGAATATAAGCGTTCTGAGACACCTTCTCGATACTATTGCTATTGTGGAAAGGTGGAGGATCCACCACTGGATCCCTGGTTAGTTCCACATTCTTGTGGCCAGGTCTGTGAGAGAGAATTCAAACCTCCCTGTGGACACAGGTGCCTACTACTTTGTCACCCAGGTAAGCCGAGCTGTTACGAAAATTCAGCTTCTTGAAAATGTAGGACAATCAACTCTTTGCTGTGGCTGCATGTTGAGAAACTTTTTTATAGAACATAATCTCAAAAAAAGAGGTGTCAATAAATAAGGATTATTTAAGGACTGATTTTTAGACCACTGTTCACATCTCTGTGTGGTACATATATTATGGAGAATTTCTCAAGTTTTCTTCCCACAGTAATCATGTGAGTTAAATTTCTTTTTACCTTTCTCTAAATCTGGGATAAAAGCTTCAGCCTCAAGCATATGCATTTCCCAATGTTGACTCTTTTTTCTTTGTGTCAGCCTTGGGAAATGTACATGCTTGAGGCTGAAACTTTTATCCCTAATTTATGAAGTAGTGATGTATGACAGCTCAATCAAATATATTGTAATGCAAATTATAATATCTGCATTTTATTATAGCTATTAAAAAGGCTGTAAGGTCTATGCAATAAATCAAGGACATGTTTATCTAGAGGGACACCAATTCGTTGAAATCAGCACACAAGCAGAATATAGTGAGTCAGTTATCTTCTTCAGGACAGCTACTTTTATGTTAATCTTTTGACTAATGTGTGAGGCCTTGACAACATTTACCGTTGTGTGGTTTATGAAGTTCTTAAGAAACAACAACAACAGGTAATAGATGCTATCCTTATGGCTTACTTGCTCCCAAATCATCCCATTACGATCAGATGGAAAATCCTGCTAGGTCTTTTATTTGGATATTAGGGGTAGGTATGGGATTTATTTGAAGCCTGAATTACTAGCTGAATCAACTTGATCCACTTAATAGACCACTTAATATCTTTAACAATTTTATTTTTCTGTGAAGGTACTTAGCTAGGAATTTGTGTCATGATTTGTTAGCAAACAAATTCTCCTTTTTGGGATTTGTGATACCTAGCTTGTGTGTGTATTGTAGATGGGCTTCTCCAAATGCCACATCACTTTCTAGTTGGAATAGCCTGATTTTCATAGAGTAACAGTGTGAGCTATGAGGTAGCGACTGGTTTAAATCACCCGGTGAAGTTCATGGCTGAGCCTAGTGTTTAAAAGTAGGTCTGCTTGATTCAGTCAGGTGTTAATTACAGTGGTGCGTTGCTTGACGAGGATAATCCATTCCAGCAAAATCACTGTAGAACGAAATCCTCATCAAGCGAAAATAAAAAACCCATTGAAATGCATTGAAAACCGGTTCAATGCGTTACAATGGGCTAAATACCTAATAGTCCAGCGAAGATTCTCCATAGGGCGGCCATTTTCTGGTGCCTGTAAAGCGAAAAATGGCTCCTAAAAACAGCGGGGAGCCATTTTGCACAGCGGGCGGCCATTTTGAAACCCGATGATCAGCTGTTTTCAGATCGTCGTAATGGGAAGAATCGGCTCCTGAAGCAGGGAACCGATCGTCCTAAAGCAATTTTTGGCCATTGAAACATCGTTTTGCGATCGCAAAAACCTCACCGTCAAGTGGATTCATTGTTTAAGGAGGTAATCGTTAAGCGAGGCGCCACTGTATATTGTTGTGGCTAGGCAACTCAGGACAACATGTGTTAGAATATCAGTTTCCTGATATTATTTAAAATTCATTTTTGTTGTGCTTAAGTTGAGAGGAAAAAGCAAGCAAAACAGAAACACGCAGAGAAGAAAATTACTCCAAAACAGAAAACTAAAACCAAAGCCAAAAAAGTAGGGGTGGGAATAGAACAACAGTAGGAACTATGAAAGGAAAGACAAAAAAGGGAAAGAAATCCAAAATCTGAAAAGATGAAAGATATTGGAATGTCTAAGGAAGTATCCATTTTCTGTTGCTGACAATATGCCACTTGTTTGAATGTTGGAAAAGTTATAAAGCAAAGCAAAGCATGCTGCTTATATACCGCCCCATAGTGCTTCAAGCACTCTCTGGGGGGTTTACAAGTTAATTATGCAGGCTACACATTGCCTCCCCAGCAAGCTGGGTACTCATTTTACTGACCTCGGAAGGATAGAAGGCTGAGTCAACCTGGAGTCGGCTACCTGGGATTGAACCCCAGGTCATGAGGACAGTTTTGGCTGCAGTACAGTGGTTTAACCACTGCACTATTAATTCACTGATTACTATTATGAGAAGCAGTGGCTGATGTCTTATTTGCAAGTGAATAATGGTCTTCTAGACTTGAGATTAGATTCACTCTATTGAACTTGTGGCCTAATTAGATCCGTAGTACCTTGGAAGTGCTATACTGAATCTGTAGCAGTATTCAACTCAGCTAGCTGTGCGGGTTGTTGTGCAAACTGCATTGACATTCTTTTGATTATTGAGATCAATTTGTCTCCATCATTTCCTTCATCAAAAAAACAGGTAGTCATTTCTGCTGGCTGGGACTGATGCTCTATCCCTTTGGGATTTCATAGTTGTAAAATTTCTAATCAGTTATAAAGGAGAAGTTGCTGAGTGAAAGTAAACTTGAAGCTACCACTACTTATTAGAGTTTATTAAGCAGAAGAAAAAGGGAGACAGTATTCGGTCTGTCTGATTATTCAGACCTATTAAATAAAACTCTAAAGTCTTTCTCTTTGGTATCTCTAGGTCCCTGCCCACCTTGTCCAAAGATGGTTTCCATAACGTGTTATTGTAAAAAGGCAAAACCTGTACCACGGAGATGCAGTACAAAAGAGTGGTCCTGCCAGCTGCCATGTGGACGAAAACTGCCATGTGGGCAGCACAACTGTGAAAAACCTTGTCATCCAGGTAGGTGTGAAAAGTGTCAGAGAAGGGTTTGTCTTTTTTAGATTAATTACACTTTGCATTTGAATAATCACTTTCTTGCCCCCATTCAATGGGAAGTCCCCCTGTCAATCTTCTCCAGGCTAACTTCTATGAATTGCTTTTAGGAGTCTGCCAACCCTGTCCAAGAGTGAGTGAACAAAGTTGTGTCTGTGGGAGGCGAGTAGCAGAAAGACTTTGTGCAAGCCCTACTTGGCAGTGTGATCAGGTAGGTTTCCTTAAAAATTGCTAAGTTAATCTATATGGGTCTTTGCTTTTCAAGAAAGCTGGCAGTATGAGCCTTGATATCTTTCCTTTTATGCAAGAAAACCTTGCAGATTAACATGAAGATGAAGGGTTTGGAGATGTGATTTAGAAAAGAAGAATTCTTTTCTAGGTGAACGTCTATGCCTGAGTTCTGCAGATAGTTCAAATTAGAGTATGATTTACATAAATATTCACTTGATACTCAGCAGTTGACTCAATAAATCTTCTCTGTTTTGGACCATTTGTTGTATTTAATGCCTGCAACCAGAGATGGTTTGTGGTTCAGTGGTAGAGTACACATTTCACATGTAGAAGACTCGGCTTCAAACCCAAGCATTTCCAGGTCTGGCTAAAAAAAGAACCCTGCTTGAAAACCTGCTGCCAGATAAGAATTGATGATACTATTTAAATGTACAGTGGTGCCTCATAAGATGAAATCAATTCATTCCGTGAGTCCTTTCATACCGTGAAAACGATCGTCTTGCGAAGCGCGGTTTCCCATAGGAATGCATTGAAATTACCTTCAATGCATTCCTATAAGATGCCTCGCAAGATGAATGCCTTTTTTTGTCTTGCGAAAATGACTGCAGGACAAAAAAAATCGTCTTGTGAAGCATGGCCATAGGAAAAGCTGTCTTGCGAGTCGCGGAAAAAATCGCAAGATGCTTTTGTCTTGCGAGTTTTTCGTGGCGCGGGTTGTTCGTCTTGCGAGGTACCACTGTATTGATAACTCAATAAAAGGCAGCTGCCTTTTCTCCAGTGTACAGTGGGATCTTGACTTGAGAACTTAATCCGTATTGGAAGGCGGTTCTCAAGTCAAAAAGTCTGTAAGTCAAGTCTCCATTGACCTACAGTGCATTGAAAACCGATTAATCCCGTAACAGGCCGTTTTTGTTCCATTTTGGTTTTTTTCTGGTCTGTAAGTCAAATCTCAGTCTGCAAGTCAAACCTAAATTTTGCGGCCAGAGAAGTCTGTAACTCAAAAAGTCTGTAAGTCAAGCCGTCTGTAAGTCAAGGGTCCACTGTACTGACTGGCTCCCTACTTAGGTGGAATTAAGTATTGATGCAGGGTGTTTGAATCTTTGTGTTCATGTTGGAGTCACTTGTTTGTTCATAATAACATTTTCCAAGGTGCCCATTTAGAGCCAGTGCTGTAGGGACAGTATTCCTCAGCAAGACTTTTTATTACAGATGTTTCCATGCCATGCAGTGGAGCTTTCCCATGCCCTTCTTTTCACCACAACTGACTGTGCTGAGAGCTGAGGGGCCCCTCAGTGGTGTGCATTGTGGTATGGTAGGCCCACTGTTTTCCTTATAGAAGGAGAGGGAAATTGTAACAGCTGGGTGGAAGGGGGGTCTGCCTTCTGTGGAAACAAGTGTCAGATGACACAAGAGCAAAGTGAGTTCCAGGCTGTAGCCTCTTTTGGCTATGGCTACCCTCATAAAAGCAGCTGTGAACACAGCATTGAGAAGAGAGCCTCTGAAATATCATGCTTAGCATTGGTTTGATGCATCAATCATAAAAGAAAAAGTATTTATTTGAGTATTCATTTTTATACTATAAACTGGCCCAAATTTGAAAATAAATTATGTCACTTTTCCTTTTGCCATTGTGGCATGACTGTCCTGTCTTTGCTTAAGAAGGACAGGGGTTTTTCAGGATGCTTTGTCTTTCTACCTGCTGAAATTCACATTTTCTATAGCTCTCTTAAAGGTATAGTGTCTCTTTCCTGAACTACTGGAAAATATAGTCCTATCTTTTTTTATATAGTTCGTTAAATTAGGCAAGGTAATTTCAGAAAACTTGAATCCAGATGTCTTTTAATGCTTTTTAAAATCACCATATGATTTGTATATTACTTAAAAATTTTTGGAAAGAAATTTTTTCCCTTGCCTACATGTTGTATGTGTTTATTTATTTTTTTTGTAGTTTGTTATTTGCTAATTTCATTATTTGCAGTTACTAACACATGCGGGTTCCCCAACAGATTTGTGGCAAAACGTTGCCTTGTGGTTATCATTCGTGTGAACAGATTTGTCATGGTGGTTCCTGTGGGAAATGTCCACGATCTGGCAGAAGGTCTTGTCCATGTGGAAAATCAAGTATGCATACTCTTAATTACTACCTATTTAGTTTTGACAATACAGTGGTGCCTCGATTTACGACTGTCCCTACTTACGACCAATTCGACTTATGAACAGCTCCAGTCACAAAATTTTGCTTCTACAGTACTTGCGACCGGAGCTTCCACTTACAAACAGGAAAAAGGCGGGAAATTCAAATTGCTAACTGTAGGTGGTGAAAGAGGCTGATTCTTTGTAGCTCTTTTGCCACCGTGGTTAGAGTAAGTGTGATTGAAGAGGGACTGCCTGGCTTCTGCTTCTCAGTGAGAGTGTGTGTGTTTGCAGGGAGCCTTGGGACTGCCTGTTAGGTAAGGTAAGGTGCTGTTTTCTGCTTTTTAAAAACTGTTCTGGGTGTTTTTGCAGCGTGGTTTTAGGCTGGGGGGTTATGTTTCTGTGCTGTGATGGGTCTTGTGGGGTTTGTTTGTTTTTTGGGTTCCCCATTTCCGATGGGTTTTGGCTGGGTTTGGTTGCTTTTGGGTTTTTTCCCCCATTTCTGATGTCCTGCATACTTCCCTTGCTTTTTCCTTTGTTTTTGTGCATTTCTGAACTTGTCCCTTTGTTCTCTGTGCATTTCCAATCTGATCCATTTGTTTTCTGTGCATTTGCTATGGGTCTTGCATGACTGATTGCTTTTCTTCCCCCCCCCCCCACTTCGGCCGGAAGGGATTAATAGTGTTTCCAATGAGTCTTGCAGTGATTTTTTTTTGTGATTTTTTTTCTTTGACCGGAATGGAATAATTGCATTTCAATGCATTCTTATGGGAAATGGTGCTTCGACTTACGACCATTCTGAGTTACATCCATCTTCTGGAATGGATTATGGTCATAAGTTGAGGCACCACTGTATAGCTAAAGCTTTCTGAAAGTGAAATTATGTACATTGTGTTCAGAATCAAACTAGTTACAGAAGAAAAACATAGCAGACTTTGGTTGAATACATTTCTTTAATACTGCTTATTTCAGACTTGCCATGAACAGAAACAATTAGCATTATGATCTTTTTTTTTTAAATTGGGAGACATGTAAAGATGTTTGTTATTTTTGATTTTATGTTTAATGGCCAATGTGTACAGGTTTTGTTTCAATTTCTGCAGAGTTTTCTTTGCCATGTACGGAAGATGTACCAACTTGTGGGGACAGTTGTGACAAAACTCTTGAATGTGAAATTCATAGATGTTCACAACGCTGCCATCGAGGTCCCTGTGAAACCTGTAGACAGGTAAATATTGCCTTTCCAGCTCAGTAATGAGCTTTTTCATTGTGATTTTTCATTAATGATTTTTTATTGTACCATGGGTCCCCAAGGGGCTTATATCAGTGCCTCCCTGTGGCTTGGAGGAAGTGAAGATTCTTCTTTGGGCTGTTTTCTTCTTCTCTTGAGTCTGAAAGCATTCCATCTTCTTTGCCTCTAATACATTTCAAAATAAGCCTAGAAAACACACACACCTCATCTCTTGCTCTCTCATTTCTCTCCCTGTCTCTTTCAGCTAGTTGAAGGGCATTCCCTGGTGTGTCAGAAATCAAAGGGCAGATTATAAACAATTAACAGATTTTTTTGATGAAACAGATCAGCTACAGATGGATCATCCCAGAAGGTGTGTGATTCTACTATCAAGGTCAGCGACAATATATAAACACTATGGATAAAATGGAGGCCTTCCTGGATAGATATGGAGGAAGAAAGGAGAAAAAAAGAAAAGAGAAAGAAGTTCAAAGGAGAGATGCAACAGGAGACAGGAAATCTATAGATTCAGAAAAAGCCCAGGAAAGTGAAGAAGAATCCAAGGAAGAGGAAGAAGAGGAGGAGGAGGAAGAGGAGGAAACCAAAGAGGCAAAAAATCTAAAGTAGTACAGATTCAGATCAAATCAATAAGGAAGAGGGAGGACTACGGAGGTAGTAAGCAAGCAGGAAATGTCTAAAAATCAGCTGAGATTAATCACTATCAATGTAAATGAATTGAATGCACCTGGAAAACAGAAAAAAAGATATCATCAACTTAAGAAATTGAATATAGATGTTACATGTATACATGAAACCCATATTTAAAAAAAGACGTGAAATATTTGGAAATGCCAAAATTAGAGAGGCTGTTTGCTGCATCAGACAATAAAGAAAAAAAAAGAGAGGGATGGCAACATTTATAAAAGACTGTCTGAAAGCTAAACCAATTTTTGCATCTCAAGATGGAAGAATATTGATGGTAGAAATTCAAACAGGGAAGGAAAAAACATTGATAGTGAATATTTATGCTCCAAATAAAAATCAAGATAAATTTTTCAAAGAACTACAAAAAGAATTGGCAGATAAAGAATATAAATATATTTACTGTGTAGGGGACTTCAATGCAGTTTATAATCTTGACCTTTCCAAACCAGCTGTTTCTCTTTTAAATTTGCCAAAACTTGATTTCTAAAAGAGCTCCTTAAAAATTTTATGTGGATCTCTCTCGGTTTACGGTTGTTTCTTGTATAAATAGTTGAGGATCTCCATGCGTTGTTCAGGTTCTTTTCTATTTCCTCAGGAACCAATCCTTCAATAGGAATTAGTAATTGAGTTATAATTGCTCTTAAATCTTCTTCCTGTTCCTCTTCTATGTTTTGAAAGCAGAGATCTGAAAGACACTACCTTCCCTGCTTTGCGACAAATCCCGCCTTCCTTCCCAGTCACTATTCTTTGAGTGTAGCTATTTGTTGCAGTCTCTATTTGAAATATACAACCAAATCCATTGTTATCTGAAATAGCAGAAGGAACATAGGAAAAAATAATTTCCATTACTGCTGTCATAATTATTCTGATTACAGTGGTCTGTAAGAGGGCCCAGTATCTGTATGCAAACTGTAGCCAACGAAATGGGTTTTTTTGGGACCTCTTATCCAAACATACTAGAAAATCTCTGTGCAGCTTGTTTCATAATAAATTCATGCAGTGCTTTTAAATGCTTCTTTTTTATTTGTAATGCATCTAGTTTCATGTGCTATTAATGATCAACCTAAATCTATGGATTTAATTTGTATGTATTAGCAATACCTTCTTTCTACCTGTATCCTAACAGGAAGTTGAAAAACAATGCCGCTGTGGAAAGCATACAAAGCAGATGCCCTGCCATAAGCCATACCTTTGTGAAACAAAGTGTACAAAAATTCGTGACTGCCAAAAACACCAGTGTAAAAGAAAGGCAAGTATTAAAGATCCTCTGTTCTAGGTAGAGTTATGTAAATGTTTGGTTCCACTTCAAAATTCTTTTACTTCCAATTGGCAGCCTGTATATTTAAGTATGTGAATGTGTTTGAGAAAGAACAATTCTTAGCTTGCAGTGCAGGCTGTTATGTTTCTTCTGAAAGCAGTGTTGGGTGTAAAACTTTATAGAACATCTTACGATAAGTATTTCTATCTTGAGAGAAATCAAATAAGCTAAGGATGGCCTGCTTTACAGAACTGGTGCCCTTATGGCACCCACACACTATGAAAAGGATAGAGAAGGTTCTGACATTAATTCTTACTTCTTGAATTGTACATGAACTTTCCTCAAACTAAGAGGGAGTAAATTTCAAAGGTCCAAGAGAATAGGGGGGAAAAGGAGTTACATGTTTGCTTGTACTAAATGCATTTCCATTCCTTCCCCTTTCTCTGTTGAGATCAGGAGTTCTGGATTTATCTCATTGGTTTTTAGGTCTGAAATTCTGGTTGTATGTGCTGGCAATAATCTAAGTTGTTCAGATACCTGTCTTTACATAATTAAAGTGGCATTGTTTGTATGCAAGAGAAAATTATTATTAGGTTTGGGTTGAGGATTACCTTGACACAACCCAGTGGGGGCTGAGCATGCTCACTAGCCCTGGAATGTTGTCCAGCATGATCAAAAAGTTGAAAGCCATGTGGGAGAAGGAATAGAATTAAATATACCAAACAAGACCTCTCCATATTGTAACATTTTGTCACTCCTGCATAATCTTTTGCCCTTTTCATATTTATTAAAATAAGGAAAAGGAGAAAAGGTAAAAGTTACCCCCCCCCCAAAAAAAAGGTTTCAAAAATACTTGGAGCAAAATACAGAGATAGTCTCAGGCAATTCCACAGTTTACACCAGAAAATAACTAAGGCTCCACTTATGTACCTGATATTCACAATGGGAGGGGGGGTCTGTGGAATTCTAATGCATGCATAGAATGTACTCTTCCTAGGATCGCAGAGAGCAAATGAATGGAGCCATGAGGAAAGCCCTCTTCTCCTTAGAGACAGGCCAGGCTGACACTATCTGACTAGCCAGTTTTCTGCATGCCTTTTATACATTAAAACAGTGGTCCCCAACCCTTTTAATGCCAGGGACCGGTTTTGTTGAAGACCATTCTTCTCTGCTCTGAAATTAACAACAAAAATGATAAATCACTGCGTGGAAGGTGGATGTATGCATGAGTGAAATTCAGATTGTTAAAACATTTAAAAATAGTAAAGCGTTATCTGATATTACAGTTTTTTAAATTTGAATTTTTTTAGAACCCATCTTTAGGGAGCTGAAAACATAAGCAAAATATGTCAGAAATATAAAATGGTAAAACCATTGTGACACACAGATTGGAAATGTGAAAAGCAGACAAAGTTACACTTAAGGTAACATTTTTAAGCACCTGGACAATATATTTTTACCTGGATACACAAATGATGCCAGTGCTAATATATTGTTAACATTGTTTTGCTGATGAAATTGCTCTTATCCATTCCAAACCAGAATCCACATTAAAAGTAGATTGTAATGAGAATACCTGAGGCAACCACTTGCATTGTTGATGCATGCGTTTCACTGGGCAAAACCCTGTTTTTTTCCATGGTAAATTGTACTAGAGTAGGCTCATTGAATCAATGTGAATTTAATGACTTGACTCTGTGAACTCGATTGATTCAAATGGGCTTACTCTAACTGTGTCCTACTATGCTTAAGTAAGTCACATTTAGAGAAGACTGATTTGAATTAATGGAACCTATGGAGGAGTTGAGGCACCAAATCTTCTGTGGACCTTGGAACCTATGGAGGAGTTGAGGCACCAAAACTTCACTTGTTCTGTGGACCCACTTTAGTGCAATTTTCTAATATACTACACTTGATCTTAGCCAAAAGGCCAAGAAGCTAAGCAGTAGAATTTTGGGCGGTGTTCAGTGTAGCTTACCTAAGTAAGCAAGCCCAGGTTCATTGCCCTGACATACTGTGATAAGCATTTGTCTTTGGTACAGTGTTGTCCTGGGAATTGCCCACCTTGTGACCAGGTCTGTGGAAGAACTTTGGGATGCCGAAATCACAAGTGTCCTTCAGTCTGCCACAGAGGTAAGAATAAACAGAAAATCATCCTTGTAGCCTTGTAACTGAAATGGCACTTTCATTTTTATTTATGTGTCTTCTCTAGTTATACCTGGAGAATGTACATTTCACAAGCTTTAATTTTAGTTCAGATCTCCCGTTTAATAGCTAACCTTTTTCGTAAATAAATGTCTAAGATGGAAAGGTGACAAAAGCAGAAGTCAGTGCGAAGAAAGGAGTAGAAAAACTTGTCGCTCCCATGTTGTTCAAAGCTCATTATTTAAATCATAACTGTTCTTTCAGGCCTAAGTTGCCAAGTTGATAAAGGTTTTTTTTTAAACACAAGTTCATACAAGGTGTCGATTTCATTCCTTATTTTGATGAATATTATGTATACTACACGGTGTAACTTAAGTTGCTGTCTTGTGAAGTACATGGACTGTGTGGTATCCAATAAGTTTCCCAGTTATGGCAAAAATATATGATGTGTTTTCTTTTTTATGTTATCTCCTACTCATGTACACTTGTTTATACTGTGGAAGTGTGTTGATGTATTTTTAAAGATGCTTAAAGAATGCAAATATTGACCCTTTCTGCAGATAAGAGAATCATTTGCATTCCTGCTGATTTTTTAAAATGCCTTTTGCAAATGTCAAAAATAGGGTGTTCTCTTTCGACCTTTCAAGAAAAAGAGAAAGGTGATATCTGTTTTGTTAGTGATAAAAAAGCATGACATATAAATAACACAATCTAGGTGGGATGTTTAGGTCACCCTTATGTCAGACTGAATTCATAGTACAGTATTGTTATGGGTTTCAGTTATAGAGATTGGATTGCTTCTTATTCAGATTTTGCCATATAACTTTAAAAATAGAGGAAATAATTATTTGGTCCACTGGTCTGACTGAATGCCTTCAGATAGTTAAAACGCTATTTTATGATCAGTATAATTACAGCATTAGTTATTTTGGTAACAACAGAATAATCAGTACAGGTGGCTTCTTTGATAAACTGTGTTAACTACTTTTTCCAAAGTTGGCTACTTGTTGTATCTGTGTTAATTTTAGGTAGCTGCTATCCATGTCCTGAAACTGTAGATGTAAAGTGCAGTTGTGGCAAAACTGTTCTCAAAGTACCGTGTGGCAGGGAACGTACCACCAAACCCCCTAGATGTAAAGAACTGTGTAGGTATGTATAAAGAACAATATATTCATTGCAAGCTCTACCTTCTAAAACATAACAGTGTTTGGCACCTATCAAGCAAATTTAGAAAGCTCTTATAGTTTCAAATGCAGCTTGTTTAGTGTCATATTAATTAACCAGAGGCGTGAAGATTCATAAGCTCTTATAGTTTCAAATGCAGCTTGTTCAGTGTCATATTAATTAACCAGAAGCATGAAGATTCATTACACAATAGCTTTTATCTTAAATTATAAAATATTGTATGTATGTTTGTTTTTCTATGCCTTGTGAGTAAGTATCCTATGCAAGTCAGAGCTGCTTGCCACAGTTACTAGATTTTATTAAAGTTGTTGGAGAAGAAGATGACCTGTTCTGAGTACTGTGGAATTCTTACTGTGATTTAAAAAAACAAAAGCAAACCCCACCCTCCCTGGCTATTTAACTTAATTAAGCACTAATGAATAATGCACCAATGACAAAAAGATTCAACTTTTCCAAAAGTATATACAAAACATCCTTCATGAATATAGTATGCTGTTTGTAGAAAATGTCGCAGACAAAAGTTAGTAATGTTATTTTTAAAAAGAAACTCATCAAGTTATATTGTTTTTGTCAAGATAAATCAATATTTAGCTCAGTTTGAAAGTAACGGTGTTGAGTTTGAACCTGTGACCAAAAAATTCTGATTGAGTTACTAAGCCCAGTTGGTCACATACACCATAATACCCATTAAGACACTCATGATTTGTGTGAAATCTTTTAAAATGATATATCTGTTGAGAAATGGTTTGGGCCAGTAAAATGGAAGACAAATATGTGGCAAATTTACATAGAAAAATATGTTTCCTTATTCTGTAACATTCAAGAGAAAGTTTGTTGTTGTTTTAAGATTAAATCTTAAAAGTTAATCCAAAACATACTGGCAACTACAAAGATTCTCTTCTCAGATTACTTTTGGACATTGTTTATAGATGAAAATGCTATTTAAGACTTCATGCAGACAAAGAATCTGACTTTTATTCTGATACATAAAGGCTTGTTGCATGTCTTTTTTAGTAGAAACTGAGTGAAGAGTGAGTAATAGTAGTAGTAGTAGCAGTAGTAACAGCAACAGCGGCAAATGTCGACTCTGCCAAGAAAAAAAAAAGAAATTGTGTCACACTTCATTGTGGATGTCCAAAGATTGCACAAACAGATTACAAAGTTAGACATGATAGAATGGCAAAGTTAGTGCACTGGTCATTATGCAGAAAATCTAACTTGCTGCTCTCCAAAAACCCATGGGAACATCAAGTAGAGAAAGTCTCAGAACATGAGGAAGTGAAGATCTTGTGGGATTTCTGGATCAAACTGATAGACACTTGAACATAACACACCAGACATAGTAGTAATAGAACGAAGAAATGTCTGGATCATTGACATTGCAATTCCAGGGGATGCCAGAGTTGAAAATAAAGAATTGGAAAAACTAACCAAATACAGAGACCTGGCAGTTGAAACATCTTGTCTCTGGAAGAAACACACTTCAGTGGTCCCCGTAGTCATTGGGGCTTTGGGAACAATATCAAGAAATTTCACACAGTATTATAAGCAGGTGCAGATCTCAGAAATCAGACCATCAGAGCTACAAAAACCAGCAGTATTAGGAACAGCATACATACTGTGCCGATATTTAACAGATACTTAAGTTTTTGGTTGAAACTTGTATCTGTTATATAATACCAGTCAGTGGTTTTTTAAATCTTGATTGACTGTGCCTGGTGTTTTTGAACAGCAGCAGCAGCAATAACAACAACAGTCAAGTCAGTTTTGCCTCATGCTGATTGTTTTCAGGATTTTCTATGTAGAGAATACTCAGAAGTGGTTTACCATTCCCTTCTTATGGGGGCAATCGTGGTACTGTGCAGCTTGCCCAAGGTCACACAGGCTGGATCTTATCTCAGGAGGCACAGTGAGGAATTCAACTCCCATTCTCTGGCTCTGCTACCAGATACGCAGCTCAGTGAGCTATCCAGCCAGCTCAAGTGAAGAGTTAAGTAGATGTAATTAAGCTAAGGTGACGAGTGCCCAGTCGTTTAAAGTGAAAAAATAGCTTGGAAAGATAAAGGGTAATACAATAAAAAGGCATTGAAATTCAGTTTTCAAATATGTCTATGCCTTAGTGAAAGTTTTTATACAAACAGAACATAGACTATAGTATAAAAAATTTACTTATTCTACAGTTGGAGGTTCTGGGTTTTTTTAAAAAATTGGGTCTGTGTTTTTGTGTTCCAGTAGGTGGAGCCACATTAACATGGTGAGGACTTGGTAGTTTATAATACTTTGAGAGAGGTTGTGTAGTGGCTATATATTTAATAGCCAGTAGTCCAAAGTGCTGCTTTAATTTAACTCCATCACCTCATGGGACTACCTGACATATAGGAATTTAATGAATGGGTAACTTTAATGAGTATTTAAAATATATTTCAGGACATGGTATAATTTTAATATTTAATAACTGCATTTTTTAAAAAATAAACATTTCTCCAAATGGCCACAATAAAACAAGAAAGAGCTAAATTACTTCAGCTTGTGCCTGGAAGTGTTGAATTTCATGGGTTATTCTGGATCCCAATTAGTTGTTGCTATATTTTTATGTCTTTTGCCATGCTTTGTTGACCTCTTTAAACATAATGTGCACTGAAAAACAGTATAGAAATCAGGCCCTTTTGTACATAATGCTGAATCAATCATTTTAGTAATCCTTGACTTTTTTTTCCTAGACAGCCCCCCACTTGCCATCATTCTGTTCGGGAGAAACACGGTTGTCATTTTGGGCCTTGTCCTCCTTGCTGCCAGCCCTGCAAGAAAGTCTTAGAGAAGTGCCATCACTTGTGTCCTGCCTCTTGCCATGATGAAGCACTTGTGAAGCAAACTGGCGTGGTGAGAGATGACCCGGGGCTGTTTTAAGACATGAGCACATTGTACAGTATATTCAGCAGAACTGAGGCGAGGGGGGGAAGCTCTCCTACTTATTTTTATAGGAATTGATTAACTGAGAATACTTTTTTTCATGCCAGTTATTCCATATATACTTTGGCTTTTTCTTTGCCAATTAATCTGTGTATTCTTGTATTTCTGCCTGTAGCTCCTTGTATTCTTGTATTTCTGATAAGCTCCTAACTGTTTTAGAGAATTTTCCTTTCCTTCTTATTTGTATTTTAGTCTTTCCCTACCTCTTTGTGTAAAAGATAAAAGAGAGGTAAATTGTGTATTGCCATCTGTGTGACTCATCTAAAGTTGGCGAGTTACCTACTTGTGCATCAAGAGCCACTGGTGAGCAGGACAGGGAGGTTGGCTTCCCTGTCAGGGTGGCGTCCCCTCCGCCCATATAAGCCAAGGGATAGGAGACATCTAACCCACTCCCAGAGGTTGGAATTCAATGGCTAAGTTTGGAATCTTTTGCCAAAACAAACAACCCAGAGCCATTTGTTACCTTGGGAGAAGACATATGATGGGAGGGGGAAGAGGTGACTAAGGGGGGGGTGGAAATAAAAGGACAGATGGAGAAAGACTTAGGAGGAGAGAAGGTATCATTGGTAGAGGAGGAGGCAGAGGAACTGAACTGACTAGATGAACCACTGAAAGAGTTACTAGAGGGTTGGGAATGGGTGACCAAGGAGCTGGCCCAGCTTTCAGTCCCCATAGAGGAAGCAGAACGACAAAGGCGTCATTGTCTCCTGCATAAGGGTTCCTTTTGGGGTGAGTGAAAAAGAAGTGCATGAAGGAGAAGAGAATGAGTAAAGAAACAAAATGAACAGGGAAGGCAAACAGGTGGAATGTCCAAACCAGCAGATAAAAGAGAGGAAGAGACAGGTGTTTGAAAGGGAGTTTATTCAGGCTGGGGGAGAGGAGCTGGGCATTGCATGGGGAACTGAGTGTGGCACCCTTCTTGTGGCAGCCTGTGCCAGGGATCTCAATACACCTCTCCCTTGAAGACAAAGGAGGAGTGTCATGGGAGAGGTTGTTCCTATTGAAACATGAAAGCTGGATGCCACTGAACTATGTTGATAAGCCTGCTAAGCAGGAGGAGTTGGATGTTGAACCATTTTAGGTTATTGTTGAAAGAAATAAATATGTTTAAAGCAGAAAAGTCTCCCAGTCATCAATTTGGAGCTGGGAGTGGGGGCTACCAGAGAGTCAGAATCCAGTCATACCACCAAATGAAATTCATGCTGTGGTGCACACGTTTAGCTTTCCCTGTTAAAACAGAAATATCATTCTCCCTCTCCTCCCTTGCCTATTTTATCTCTTCCCTCAGTATCCTCCTCATTGGAAAAATGTTCCTGCTTGTCAGCATATTGTTTATTTTCCTCAGGAGAATTTAATATTTGCTCAGTCATGTGTGACTTCAACATGCTTGTAGTGCAAAGAGGTTTGTGTAAATTCTTAACAAATTTCTTGATAAACTGTTCTGGCTTTTCTAGGTCTTATTGGTTGCTTTCAAAAGTATCAGTAATATGCATCTTATAACAATTTACACTTTCTCCTAGCATCAACCTGCTGGACCCTGGGAACAGTCAAATGAGCCTGCTTTTGTTCAGACAGCATTACCTTGCCCTCCATGTCAAGTCCCTATTCCAACGTGAGTATGAAAATATGATTTGGAGTGCCATATTTCTGTACTATATAACACTTTACTGTTTCCAGTGCATTGGGAACTGTACCCCTAGCAGAATTTGTAAAGAAGAACATTGTAGTGGATTGTGCCTCTTCAGTGTGCATTTTGGGATTACCATGTCGGCTAGAACCTTTTTTAAGGCTTGTTAAATTACATTCACTAATCCCAGAATTATCTGCCCAAGGTAGAGGTGGCTTGTTGTGACTTAGTTACAGTTATGCAACACTTCCATACCAATGCTACAGTGGTCAAAGCACCTGTAAACAGTTGCAACATTAACATACACTTTTCATCTTTTGTATTTTGCTTCTGGATTACTAGTTTTATTTATTTATTATATTACCCACCATTTTATCTAGAGAATTCTGAAACCTAATCAAGGTCATATTTCATTCAAGAACAGAATCTTTGAAATAGCCTGGTTCCAAATCATATAAAGTCTTATGGATGATCACCATCACTTAGAAATTTATCAAATAGACTGTTAGCCAGTGAGTCATATGCTCCCTGGAACTGACCCAGCAGTCTGGCTATAGTGTTCTAGATCCACTGACATTTCTGGCTGCTTTTTAGAGATGGCTCCATGTAGAGCATGTTACAGAAATGTAACTAAAGCATGTGTAGTGACCTGCTTTAGTTGCATTTCTATAACATGCTCTACATGGACTAAGTCTGGTATTCCCACACATAGCTGGTGTGTACCACCTGTAGCTATGTAGAAACAGTCTTAGTCATCACCAAAATGTTTTGCATCTAGTGTCAAGATTGGGTCCAGGAGTACACTCCAGATGTGTGCCAAACTGTCCAAGAAAAAGCCTATCCATGATAAGTTGGATTTTTGTTCCCTGTTCTGCTATTAAACTAATTTCTTCCAGAATGGAGACCCAATATATGCCCTTTACTCAAGGGCATATTTCATGGATTCTGGTAGACAGGAAACACATAAACAGCTATGATATCCTTTCATTCAAGAAAAACTCTATGTTGGGCCATATGTTTACTGGATCACTAAAAGGTTAAAATTAAGTTAACTACTGAGTTATCCAGAACCACGCTGATCTGTGGTCCATGCCTGTCTGTAGTCCAATATGATGTAAACTTTGAGGTTCAAGCAGAAGGTCCAAAAATGGGCCACATGTGAGGCCAATGGCCCATGAAGTCAGACTGCCGGAAAGACAAAATGGAGTTTTGAAACAGAAGTGACAAAGGTATTAATTAGCAAAATTGTCTACCTTGCTACAGACAAAATCCTGGGTTGCCCCCTCCCACTTTGTGTTCAACAAGATGGAAACTCTACAAATTGATACCCTTGTCACTTGCTGGCCAGCGAACATCTCAGTGTTTAGGGATAGATTGCTGTGTAAAAGAGCATGAGGGCTGTTTGCGAATTTTTGCAGTAATAGATTTTCCAAGTAGCTGTAATATCAGTACTCACCATTATACTTACTAATCAAGAGCTTTCACTCTTTTTAGAAAGAAAAGCTTCCTTAATATGTGTATCCTTCTGTGAAATATTGTTAGCAAGAGGCCTAAAAGAAAAGTGTGTTCATAGCCTTGCCATTCTAATAAACTAGCAATTTAATAGATGACTCTCCTGGTTTTAAACAAATTAAAAGTTGCAAGTCTTGGAGTGTATTATCACTGTTACAGGTAAAATGCCTGTTTGCTGAATTAATGTGTGATTAATTCAAGGAGCTAAATTCAAATAATTTGACCTTTTCTGCTGTTATGTATTTGCAGGCAATGCCTTGGAAAACATGAGGTGAGTCATAAAAGGATTCATTCTTTGGTGTAGACCTGGAGCATGCATAATCTGGTTTTGATAAGAAGATTTAAAATGAAGTTTTAACATTTAACTCATTTGAAATGATTATTTGCAACTGCAAGAATTTTGCTTTTCATTTAAGAGCCATAAATTTATTGTATTTCATTTCACATCTGCTGGCATTTACATTTAGTATCACATAATTGTTCTAAATAATTTATAAGAGTGAACCTGAATTCATCATGATGTAAACTTCTGACTGTATTTCTAGCAATATGGAATGCTGGTAAAATGCTCCTCTGTTATTGTTTACTAGGATGATTTAGCGTGGGCTTAGTTTTTATGGAATTCTACTATTTTATGGGTTTCCCCAATTGTTTGGAAATGTTTAAATAATATTTTCTTTAGTTTGTGTAGCTGGATTAGTGCATTTTATAGATGTTTCTAAGGGTATCTGCAAATTAAGTTTTGAAAATAGATGCTAACTGTTGCCAAGACACATATGGTGCCTGTTTATGGTAACTGAGAGCTCTCTGCTTGTAACAAACTGTATGTTATGAATTGCAGCTGAACATTGCACAGTAAGGCCTGTTGTAATCTTGGTAGGACAAGGGAAGTCAAGGGAATTTCTGAAGTTTCCTTTAATGCTTTGCTGTAAATGGAAACAAGCATGCACTTTGTCTTTAATCAAGCCATGATAACATGAAAAATTGAAAAGCATTGAAGATTAGGTTGGGTTTTTGTTTCTATGCATAAGAAAAGTAAATTGAAGACTTTTTGTACAGTATTTAAAAATACATTTTGGGAAAGATATTTTGCTTTACGATTTTTAATTCAGATATTATGTCAAGCTTGAATTATTTGTCTTTAAAGCTAAAAGTATCTCTGTATAGATAAGTAAAGGAAGAATGATCAGTGACTAAAACTGGGCGAGGCTGTCCTTACAAGGCTGAGCTAACAATCAAAAAGATGATCCTTCCGAATTAGATTTGTCCATTCTATTTATCTGATAAAGTGAGAGTGACAACCTTTTGTTTTATAGAAGTTCAGTATGTGTGTATGTATACATTTAAAATTGGGATTATTGTATTTTTGTAGAATCAATGAAAGTAATCAAACAAGAATCAGTGAATTTTAAATCAAGTTGACCTGACTATAAAACTGAGATTTGCCACAAAATAATGCAGGGCATCCTAAAAGTACTCCTTTTCAGAGTTCCAGCTGAGCATTTCACTCCTCTCGCTGGTTCCATTTTTCTTTTCGACTCTCGGTCTACATTGCATGGCTGCCAACCATGCTATATCCTCATTGAGCAGTTTTATAGATTTTCTTTGGTCCCTGTTAGGTTTTTTAAGTGTTGGGTAGGGGGTTTGATTGTGTTTCTGTCTGTGTGTTTTGGTAACACTGAGGAAGTCTCCCGAGCATGGTAGTCCATCTCTCTCATGTTTCAATAGCTTGAATTTTGAGTACAGCACTAGTAGAACTCACAAAAGATTTTGTTGTTAGAGAGAGTGACTGATTTCATTCCAGATAATCTGGCATGACAGAGAGAGGTGGACTTTTAAGTGTTCTGCAGCCATTGCATACCGTTTATTAAATGTATTCATGAGATTTCAAATCATGATACACCATGGGAACGCACTGAAAGCTTACTTACTCTAATCTAACATCAGATCAGATAATAGATCTGTCCCCCCACTGGGGAAAAAACAGTGGAAATGATTCCAAGAATGCAACATGGCTTTCATCAGCTTCTGGTCTTATGGACTGACATATGAGCCTCACAACATTTATCCCCCTGTTTATATACAATCATGAGAAAAAACAAGTACTCCCTCTTTGAATTCTGTGGTTTTACATATCAGGACATTAGAAAAATAATCTGTCCCTTAGTAGATTTGAAAATTAGGCAAACACAACCTCCTGTTTCAAGTCATTCAGTATTCTCATGCTTTGAAACAAATTCCTTGAAAATGAAAGCCCAATAATTGACTGGGAACTTCTTAGTAGGGTAGTCTTGTGAAAACCATATTAATATGTTATAAAAGGCTTAGGTTAGATTGTTCATTTGTAAATAATCAATACTATATGATTTGCAAGGTGAGTCTAAGAAATAGGTCTTAGCAAAAAAAATGGTATGGAGGATTACAGTGAATTGATAATACAGTCAAGTGAAAAAGAAACTACACTCTCCTTGAATTTTATGGTTTTACGTATCAGGACATAATAAAAATCATCCGATCCTTAACACTTCTGAAAATTAGGTAAATACAACCTCAGATTAACATCACATGACAATTACACAAGTCATGATTTATTTTACGAAAATAATGCCAAAATGGAGAAGCCATGTGTGGAAAAACTAAGTACACCTTATGATTCAGTAGCTTATATAGAACCACCTTTAGCAGCAATAACTTAAAGTAATCATTTTCTGTATGACTTTATCAGTCTTTCACATTGTTGTGGAGGAATTCTGGCCTACTCTTCAGTGTTGCTTCAGTTCATTCAAGTTTGTGTGCATTTGTTTATGTATAGCTTTCTTAAGGTCCTGCCACAGCATTTTAATTGGGTTGAGATTTGGAACTTGACTGGGCTTGGGTTATTGGTAATTTCTCTGAGCATTGCACCTTGTCTGACCTTGGGGTGAATTTGCTTGGATGTCCGCTCCTGGGAAGATTGGCAACTGTCTTGAACATTTTCCACTTGTGGATAATCTTCCTCACTATAGAATAATTGATTTTTAATTGTTTGGAAAATTGCCTTATAACTCTTCCCAGATTGATGAGCAGCAACAATTGCTTCTGTATGTTCATTGCTGATGTGTTTCCTCCTTGGCATTTTGTTAACACACACCTGAATGCTCCAGACCAGCAAACCGCTAAAACTTCAGATTTTATACTGGTGTTCACACTTGCTGACAATCACTTTACTCAAGGGCATTTGGTTAGCAGCCCCTGGCTGCTACTTAGCCTCTTAATTACTATGGCAGCAGTTAGGGTGTACTTAGTTTTTCACATATGACATCTCCATTTTGGCTTTATTTTTGTGAAATAAATCATGACACTGTGTATTATCACATATGTTGTTGTTCATCTGAGTTTGTGTTTGCCTAATTTTCAAATCTACTGGGACAGATTATTTTTCTAATGTCCTGATATGTAAAACCACAGAATTCAAAGAGGGAGTACTTGCTTTTTCTTATGATTGTATATAAATATTGGTAGATTCTTTGATTACAGTTCAGTGTGCTTGATAGATGGAAACTTCCTGGTTGAGTTATACTAGGAATTACTTTCCAGAATTTGATTAGTGTTCTTGTCACTTAGCATTACTAATTACAGCTAATTGCTGAGGCATGTCTCAGTTGTGTGCCTGGTCATGCACTTGGTCATAAATTAATCCCTTGATTAACTAACTGAGATGCATCCTAGCACCTTGTCTTAGCTACAGTTAACCACAGCAAGGCTGCAAAACTTACAGGGTTAGACTACATTTTAAATAGTTAACCGTCAACAACTAATATTTATTGTTATTTTAATTTGCTACTTTTGTTGATGATGAGGATTGGCCATTTCAGATCTTTTTAATTATTATTTTAAAGCTAATGTAACTGATTAAAATAAATATAATGAGATCATATTTTCAGTTTCACTATGATTAACATCACTAAACATTTATTTAACATTAATGTGTTAGTATCTGCTCATGCAGTGTGAAGGCAAGAGGAGAAGGGGACGACCGAGGATGAGATGGTTGGACAGTGTCATTAAAGCAACCAACATGAATTTGACACAACTCCGGGAGGCAGTGGAAGACAGGAGGGCCTGCCATGCTCTGGTCCATGGGGTCACGAAGAGTCGGACACGACTAAACGACTAAACAACAACAACAAATACACAGTTTGTCTTTTCTCCAAATATTTAATTGTCTTTTTCAGTTTTATGTATCAGCTCCTGAGAAAATATCAAGCACTTTTGATTTAAGGTGGCCATAGTTATTCCTTCCTAAGTGAGTTCATAGCATGAGTGTGAAATTCTGAACAAGACATTAATGGCAAAGTTGCAGTTGTCCTTTGGACAAGTTCTTAAGTGAAATCTTACCTATAGTAAGTGCCTCGACTTACGAACTTAATCTGTTCCAGAAGATGGTCAGAAGTCGGCACCATTTCCCATAGGAATGCATTGAACATGATTAATCCGTTCCAGCCATTTTTTGGTCGTATCTCAAGGTGCCGGTCGCAAGTTGAAGCATTTGTTCCCATAGGAACTAATGGGAAAGTGTTTAGTCCGTCCACTACCATTAGGGGGAGACTTCTCTTTTTTAAACTTAAGATGACTTAGGTTTAAAAAAGGGCAGAAAAAAGGGAGGGAGGGAACAGTGGGGAAAATAGGAAAGAAAGAAGGTCATCACTGGAGCACATAGACCTCTCAGACAAAGGTTTGTGCTCTTAAGCACAAAAAGAGAGAGGATAGAGAGAGAGAAGACAAGGGGGGATGAGACTTTGGAGTTCAAAACACATGTTAAACCCACACATGTTACACCAACACATTTTAAACCAACAACTTTTAAAACAAAAGAGAGATCACTTAGCTTTTGGTGTCTTCTGGAAGACATCATGGTGACATCTCCGTCAGGGGTCTCCTTAGGTAGAGTAGAGGTGACTTCTGGCTGGAGGACAGGCAGGTGGGTGGTGAGATGGTCATCATTGGGAGGTAGAGGTCCCCTCCTTTGGGTCACCTCCAGTCGTGTCCGACTATAGGGGGCAGTGCTTATCCCCATTTCTAAGCCATAGAGCCAGCGTTTGTCCATAGACAGTTTTTGTGGTCATGTGGCCA